TTTTATTTAATTTTCCTATTTTTATCCGTCTAATTTTTTCTTTAAATTTAAGAACAAGAAAAACCTTTTAAGTCTTTAAGACATTGTGAATCTTTTTATTATTTTGTTCATTAGAGCACAACATAAAAATAGATTTGTAAACATATATATGTATTTATATATAGATATATATACTATTACTTGTTGTGGTCTAAATAAAATTGTTGCAGGAAATAAATAGACAATAAATACAAGCTTTAAACAGAACAAAAACCCAAGGCCCAATGGCTAAAATAATAGTCAATAAAATATATGCGCTCAAGCGCAGCAGCACGCAGGACTTGGGCCTTGTTACAAAATAAAAATAAACCATAGCTAGATGGCCAAAAGACAGTGCTTAAAAAAACGTGTACGGTCCTTGCAATGCGAACAACATTGGAACAAGAAAAGTTTTTTTAGCCAGGCTGCCTTTGAAGTAAGAAACAAAAAGATGACAGTAACAAAAAAATAATACAGGACATGTGCGTTAGGGGTATTCCATCTCAACTTGTGTGTGTGTGTGCCAAAGAAAAACAATTTACAATGTTTTGCTTTCTAGTTGAAGACGTTTTATTCAATGCCAAGCGACAAGAACAAACGACGAACTCTTTACAAAGTTTATTTATTTTTTGCTTTTGCTTTAGCTTTTTTTGTTATTTTTGTTGTTGGTTTTTTTTAAGCCCGGTACGCAGCTTTTGTGACGAAAATTGTTAGCCATGAGTTGAGCATGTGCCAAGAATAAATTTGTATGTATGTGTGTGTGCGACCTTCTATAACAAAAGGCGCAACAGCGACGAAAGTAGAAGAAGCGAGCAAAAAACAAAGCCGGAAATGGTTCAGGATATTGGCCAAAAATGGGGGGCGTCGTGCAGTCAGCGTGAAATGCGACAACCCTGGAGATACATGCAGCTGGAATTGCGGCTCACTTGTAGCTCGACCCCGTCAGCTACTTATGGACATTTTAGTTAAATTTTACGAGGGTCGTAAGAGTCCTTTTCGCTACGCTTTAGCGCTGATTTCTGCAGCCAATCTATTGAAATTGCGGTCCAACGGGGGCACGCAAAAAAAAGGTCAACACATTAAATTTATAATGCGATTGAAAAGGACGAGCCGGCCAATGTGAATGTGTGTGTGTGTGTGTTGGGAAAGTGCCGTTAAGTAGGTCAGTTCGGTCTGTCATAAAATGCAATTGGGGCGCATTGAAGTGCCGCGATTCTGGCAAGTGAAATGTCAAGTTGTAAATAAGACGAAGCAGCGTGGGCGTGGCCAACCAGTGCAGAGGGCGTGCCCGCAGCTGCCTACCAGTGACATCGTGGCAAGTTGCATCTTCAGCCAGATATCAACTAAGACAAGCCGAAATGAATTTCAACTCAATTTAATAGCTTAAATAAAATCAAGTACAAATCTAGAGCAATAGCATGAATTGCTGTTATATGATTGTATTTTTATATATTTTATTTTATTTGTGATACGCCTTGGCTGGAGGCCAACACCAAACGAAACGACCTTCGTCAAAATCGAATGACAAACGGCTGCTGTTGGTTTTATTGACAAAATGCATGTCAATGTGTCAATAGAGACAATCAACACCAAGGCACAGCCCCAGCTGCCTCTCATAAGCAGAACTTTGACTTGATATGATTCTCTCTCTATATTTATTTATATATATACAGAAATCTTTAGGAGTATCGCCGCATCTGCCGCAAATGAATAGCGACAGCTAAATTAACGACGTGTGGATAAGAATCACGGATCGTTAAATACGTTTAAAATGCAAGTATTTGCACACAGCCAACAAAAAGACAACAAATAATATTATTAAAAAAAAAAAAAAACCGAAAACAGGCAGCAGTCAAGTCGAGTGTCATTAAAAAGCCAACGACTATCAAAAACTAACTGCCCGGGAGACAATTTTTACTTTTTATTTCGTGGGTCTGACTGGTAATTAAAACTTGTTGGCAGACTGTCAGGCAGCGAGTTAACAAGTCGGCGGCATCACACAGAAAAAAACGAGAGAGACAGAGAGCGGGGCAGAGAGAGAGAGGCAGATAGCTGGCGAAAAAAAAGAAAGAAAAATATTATTTAATTGTGAGGCGAGCGCTAATTAAAGCCGACTCCATGCAAAAGCCGCGTCGCCCATTTGGCCATAAAGTCAAACACTTTACGGCTCTTATTTTGGGCAGCTATCTCACTCACTCTCTCTCTGTCTGTCTCTGTCTATGATAGCTGCTCGTGGCAGCTATTTATGTTTATCGACTGGTAGCTGGCATCATCATCAGCGTACAACATCATCTGGCTGAGGCTGATGCTGCGAGAGTTGACTTCACGTTAAGTTAGTCATAACTGGAATGCCAAAGAGTAGGAAGAAGCAGAAGAAGACGTCAAGCCCAACTTATGGTAATTGTTGCAAATTATTTATTTATTTATGCATGCTGATGCTACTGCCACTGCCACTGCTGCTGTCGACGTTTTCGACGCTTTTGTCGCCTGATTATGTGCTTATTTATAAGCGCAGGTAACGCGACACATACTCCAGCTCTTATAAGGATGTGCGATGCTAATGAGATGCAGTCAAACGACAAACACAAAATCCACATATGAATATCAATTATGAGACCTGAGACCTCTCCCCATCTTTCTCTCTCTCTGTTTCTCTGTACCTATCTCTGTCTCTTCCAATTGACTCAGTCATATATTGTTTTTATCTTTATTTAAGCCATCTGGAAAGGGGCTGGGTCGGCAGACAGTAGCTGGGCCTGGCTAAGCATTCAAACACATTTAGACAAACGAATGCTTTTAGCCAAAAAAAAAATATATATATAGATAAAAAAGATAAAGATATATGTGTTTATTTATCTGAGCAAATTATTATATATAAATTATATATTAAGGTACATTAAAAATCATTTATAAATGTATTAAAAGTTGTAAGGCCCTTTTCAATTTGAAAACCTTTTAAATGTTTATAAAAAACGTTCGCCAATTAAAGCTGTCCTGTTTGGTACCAAAATGTACCTCATCTATTTCGCCAATTGTTTGGTACATTCAGCTATAAACGATACACCTTGTATCTTAGCAAGCATTAATACTCAAAATGTACCAAGTGTAATACTTTGTAGAGTTCCTACTGTAGTAACAAAAATGACTCATATTGTACCTATTGTTATTAACTACATTATGTACCTCCTTAAAATATACCAATTGTGGTAGATTACTCTTGGTACATAACTGAGCAACAGTACGCCTAATGTACCAACTCTTATCAGAAATGTACTTATGTATCTCAACAGCAAACAGCACTCCAAATGTACCAACTCTGTTAAAGCATATGCATAGGTACCTCAGTAATGAAAATCAGTCCAAATGTACCTACTTTTAGAGAATATGCTTTTGTAATAATTACTGTTGCCAAGTACCTAATGTACCCTACTTATCAGTCGTTAAGCTGTACCTTTATGTATCTCTAACTGCACTTGTTATGATAAACGATTTACTTAGGTACACAATTTCATTCAAATAGAACCTGTTCTGGTAGTCTTATGCTGCAATTAAAGTGTACCATTAGGTACTAAAATGTTAGTTATGTACCTCACATGCAGTAGGCACTAAACTTACTGCAATAACAATAAATGAGGAAGTCCAATTGGAATGTACCATTTTACACACCTGTAAAGCTTAATGATATTATTTAAAGCTCAGCAGGCAATAAATTGTTAAAGTCTTTATTAAAATACCAATAGAAAATCGCACACTCAAAACTAACATTCAATTGGCCAATTAGCCAAAACTTCAGACACGTAACAGAAACAACTCGAAACTGATGGCCCGAAAGCATTCGAAATTGTTTATCGGACGCACAACACCTCGAGAAGGCACTCGATGCGCTGCGAACAACAAATGCAATTAAAATAAATATATGCAGTATCAATAGAGAGGGAAGGAGAGGGGGGGGAAGGGAGTGAGCGAGCTCGCTCAAGTAGCCAACAGATACTTTAAGCCAGTACGTGCCAGAGCCAACTGGCTGGACGGAGGCCAGTTATTGAAAGAAAATTGCAGTAGCCATGCGAAATTTGGCATGCAAAGGCAGTTGACGCCAGCCAAGTGGCAACTGGAGTCTGCGATTGCGATTGCATTTGCAACTGCAGCAGGAGCAGCATCTGCTGCATGTCGACGAGTTCAACTGATGGCCATGTCTAAGCATGACTCGGCAAACGATATACGATATACGGCATACGATATACGTTATATATTCTTCGTTTTGGGGCACCGCCCGGTTTCTAATGCGCATTCGCTGTCTGCCGTCAATCCATTAAAAATTGTAGCAGCCACAAAATGTGGCACGTACACAGACACACGCGCACATGTACAGTTTGATATTTGTCGGGCGGTCAGCAGATAACATTTGTATTTAAAAGACACTTGCAAACCAGTCGCTTTGACCATTTGTAGTTTATCTGTGGCAAATCTTGAGGCAACGCCACATGTCAAAATGTCCATTTTTTTTCTTTCTTTCTCTTTTTGTGGCATGCAAAATGCACATGCCACATGTTGCGTAAACTAGTTTGGCGATATATCACCTGAGCGGTCGGCACCGTCGGGACGACGCGTCGTCTGCATAGTTTCCTGCCAAATGTCCGCACTTGCAATTGCATATTTTATGCGAGCGAACGGTTGAACGGGCGAACGGGCGAGCATCTCGTAGCAAAATCCATTCGGCTGTCAGTCCCCTGTTTGTTGTTGTAATTCAATTTGAGTCTCTCTATGATAGCGTACATGAATAGCAAGCGACTTGCTGCTTGGGGGTCTAGGTTTGGGTTACAGTTTGACTATGCACAGGGGGTAACAGGCAGCCGCCGGAGCGTGTTAAACAACACGTGAACAGAGCGAATTGGACACATTTCTGGACATTTGGACTCGGGCACATTTAGTCTTTTGGCCAGTTGAGCGCCCAGATCGATATATGCAAGTAGTTGAAAACTTACCCCTAAAAGTTAGCAGCTGTGGCTTGGCCTTATCAAATTTGTGCTGGCATTTAACTGTAAGTAGAGAGGAATTATAAAAAAAAATAGTTAGTGAAGTGAATATGAAGGCGAGTTCCAAATAATCAAATAATAAAGAGTTGTTAGAGAGATTAAGGTATATTTTAATATAGTGTAAGTGACTAAAGGTAATATTGATTATTTGTTATGTATAGCTGAAGGTATGTTTAGAGTTGGTGTTAAACAAGTAGTATGAATAGAGACTTGAAAATGTATTTTCTGTAGTGCAAAAACTATTTCTTTATATAAAAGAAGCTTTAATAATATAAAGTAGAATAAAGTACAAATGATACTGAAGTTCTAAGAGTTTAAATGAACTCAAGGACTAATGAAAGTTTCAAGAAAATATTACGCTTCTATGTAGTTATAATATAGATAAAATATATAGTTACAATATATAGTTATAAATATAAATAAAATAGCTGAGGTTACAAAATTTGCATTTTTTAGTCAGATATTGAGAGTTATACATAGTATTTATGGGGCAACATATAATACACTGCTCCAAATTACTATAGTAACATTAGACATTGACAGTTCTTGTGAAGCACACTCGAGCTTTAAGCTCTCATTGGCGTCAATTTGGTACAGGAACACAAATGCATATCAAAACTTAAAGCTCATTATTACTAAAAATAGTAGCTTACGGGTAAAGCACATTATAAAGCTTATTTATATAAGTACTATAAAATATATGTTTTTCTTTAATCCTAAAAATAGCACCAATTTCAGGAATATTTTTTACACATAAGGAATTTTTTCAATTAATTCACATATGGTAAATTAGTATCTATACAAAAGCTTTTTTCAGTTATTACCGGCAACAAAGTAGCTTTTCGAGCAAAAGCTCACTAAAACTCACGCAAATACCAACACATAAAAACGTTTTGATTACAATTTTGGCTCTTAAAATTGTGAGCTGCTGCAACATTCGCAAACCCTTTGAACTTTGGCGCATTGAATCCGAGCATTCTGCCGTTATGTAATTAAGCTGCAAATTAATTGTGCTATTCGGTTCTAAGAAAAGCTTTCGTCACGCTATAGAAATTACTTGGTAGCAAACAAAAACACTTTATGAGCTGTGGCTGTCGTGGCATGAGAATTTCTTTATTCGCTTCTCTTTTTTTCACAGTATAATTAAGCACACTTTTAAATATTCTAACCTATGCTGAAGCCGACTCGTAAAAACTAGAGTACCTCATAAAATGAATGGAGAAAGAAAGACCACCCAGGTGGCGTGGGCCATGCGGCTGTGGGTGCGTGTGCGAAAAGGTCAACCTTTTATGTGTATGGTGTTTGGCGCTAAGGTTTTTTGGCTCTGGCTCTGGCTCTGGCTGATGGAAGGTGTTAAATAATAAATACGTCAAGCGCGCTTACTGGGAATTGGACTGCCATTAAAAGCGGGCGCACGATTGAAGTTGCGTGTCTTGACTTATCATTCACAGTTCAGCGGCTATGCTCGACTACCCCTAATACCCTTTTCCTTTCCCCTTGCCGCCCCTCTTATGATGACATTTTAATAGCCCGACCCCAAAAAGCCTAGGCAATAATATTTGCTGACTTTTACGAGTTGTTTGTGCAACGCATTGAAACAATGAAATAAACCAACACTTTACTGTTGCTCACAGCTTTTTTCCCCTTTTCTTGATTCCTTTTCGAGCTGAGCTCTTTCGGTCTGCAGCTAACTTCCAGGGCTCTAGTCTAACGCGCATTTAATGGAATATTTAAGCACCTGCACATAAAATGGCCAGGTCAGGCACGTGCTGAGCCCAGCGCCTTTTTGATGGCTTATAAAATGTATAAACATATTTGTTATTAATTGCTTTATTTTGCTACGAATTTGTTAGTTGGCAGCAGCAGCAGCAGCCGCCGCATCGATTTTCGCAAAGCCGCTTTAAGTTCAGCCCTCTCTTTGCCAGCCGCAAAATAATGAAATTTTCGTAAAGAGCGTCGCCCCGAGGTCACTGCCATTCAATCTATTAAGTCATTTCAGCAGTCCAACTAAAATAACACAGAAGCAATTAAAGCCAAACAACAACAACAACAAATACTATAATAACAGCAAATTTCTGCACTAATTTAATTAGTCAGTGTTGCCCTCGGGGCCGTAGGTTGAAGGGATTGGGCCTTGTTACTCAGGCTCTTTTGGGTTACTCAAGCGTTTGTTTCTAGGCCCGAAACTCTCTGCCTGTCGACCCGCTTAGCCAATTGCTGTACATTTAATCAAAGAAGGGAAGCAGAGCCTGGCAGCAGGAAATCAAATGTCTGCTTAAAGGTGTATAAGATAAGCTAAGATAGTAAGAAAGCGAAGGAGTTTAATGGAACCTGCAGCAAAAGGAGAAATATACAATCAAAAAATATATTAAAAATACTATTTCAATGGAATTTATATGAAAAATATTTAAAATATTAAAAATATATATATTTAGTTTAAGAACATTAAAAAAAAACACAATAAAATAATATTATAATATTATTAATAACAAAATAAAATAAAAAACTATTTAGAAAAAAAACAAAATAATTTTATTTAAAAAAAATATTTTATAAATATTATTTTAGACAAAATATTATTATAAATATAATAAACAAAATATTATTTTCATTTTATATTAAACTTGTTGTAAATTAAATATTAAAAATATATTAATATCTGTAGTATTTATGTATTCCAAGTCGCACTTACTTCCAAAAATATCTAAACTAAATTATGAATAATATCTTAGACAGATGTATTTGAATTAACTTAGTGTTTAAGGATGAATTCTACTAGGGGTTAAGATTCTCAGTAGAGCATATGCAGCAGTCTATAGCATTCAAATTTCAATAAAAATCGGAAACAGTTTTTGGAGCTACCTTAAATTTCAAATATGACTAAGAATATGACTCAAAATAAAATACAATATGAGGGTTATTGCGCACTATTTATGCCTTTGAACAAGCATTACGTGTATAGAGTTGGCTGTTTTCTAGGTATTATTTACCCACATATCAAATTTCTAAATTGCAATCAAAATATTTTTTCTATAAATACATATGAAATCTCAGCCTCAAATAATGAGTGAAGTTACAAACTTCGAGAAAATGTAGAACATTCTAAAGGACTTCATGTACTGTCTGTAAACTTAACTATGATATCATTTTATTATTACTAAAAGTTAAGACAGCTGCTAATTAAGTTTTAAGCACTATACTCAGTAAGCATATTCGATTTCTAAGTCATATAAGCAGTTTCTGACTTATGAGTAAGTAACTCTAGCTAATTAGACTTTTAAAGCTTTATTTATACAAGTGGCAAAGGAGTTCTATATCAAAACATTCACGACACTTCACAACCAGCCCACATTCCATGTTTCTAAGTCATAACTGAGTTATGAATAGAAACAATATCTAAGATAAAACTGATTGCAGTCACCAAGCCTCGTACATTTTTAGTTATATCAAGCTGTACACTATCTGAACCAAAATTACTAAATCATTCAGTCAAGCACTTCCTCATTTATATGAATTAGCCGCAGCTAAGTCGCCTTTTACCTGCAGCTGCACATTGATCGCTTGTAGTGATAAGAGTTATCGTGTCAGCGACCCGCCGCTCTTAAAGCGATATCTAAAAGTATTTGTCAAAGCTCTAGCTAGACATGCCATTGCTCTCAAGCTGTGACGTCACAAGGTGGCGACTTTGACTGCCTGCGACACATAAATAAATATTATATTACCAACACACACGCACACACACAGAGAGGAAACCTTAGAAGACGACGCACATATGAGACACATTTATGCCCGCCACACCTCCCTCCCTTTTTCACTCCCTCTCTCTCTCTCTTGCTTTGTGTGCTTTCGCTTGCTGAGTTGTTAATTAAATATTTACGCTGCTTATTTGCAAAATGAATAATTTTAGCATTTTATTTCAGCCAGCACAATGAGCGCTCCTTGTCTACGCTCATGCCCTCCCCTTCCCTCTCTTATACCCTCTCTCTTTCTCTCAGGCTCTTTTGGTTGTTCACTGTTTCAGCGCCTGAAACATTTTATGGCTGTTTTGTCAACAGAACTCGACGTCGCGACGGTGTGTAAACCTTTTAGCACATTTGCCTTTTGCTTAAGCTCCTTATTAGTTCGAGTTGGCGGCTCTTTAACTACATCTTGGGCAACCCTCGCAGCGTGCGTTTAATTGGCACACAACTCGCATGTAGTGCCCGGAGGGTTCGCGCCTCTCGGCCTCATCGGCAGCACAGGACTTCCGCTCAGGCTGTGACAACTGAACTGTGCTCCAACTTGAGGCCAATGGAAGATAAGACACGAGCCTAAGAGCTGCACAGTTTAAGAAATTTAAGTTGTGTTCGCATTTGAATAGCAAATGCAGGAATATTATATGAATATAGAACAACAGAGGGAGAAGCTTTAAAGCTGAAAGTATTTAATATAAACAGAAAAAACATGGATAGAATGAATAGAAAATCTTGGAAGAGCTTGCCAGGTAACAAGGTTTAATTGCTGCTGCAGTTAATCGACGAATGTGCTGAATAGCTTCAATATTAGTCAGAACTTGGCATGCAAGGAAAGAAGAAATTCTTAAGATAATTTGAAGAAATTGTTAAGAAAATTTAAGAACAGTGAAGTAAGTCTGCATCAGCATCAGCAGTTAGTTTACATTCTTAAGAGAGCTAGAAGATAAAGAAAGAGAAGAAAGCCTTTAATATAACTGAAGACATTCTTTAAGAAAGGGCAAGGAAGTCTTGAGAAAGAAAGGTTGCTTAATGTAAAGTTTAATATTTCCGAAGTCATACAAAAAAGAGAAGAAACATCAGAAAATCTATGACAAAAGTCAAAGGAATGCGAGCCTTAGGAAGAAGCTTCAGCAAGTATCAGATCTTAGTCTAGTAGGTATTATATGAAATGGTTGTCTTCAAAGAAGTGGAAAGTCTTAAGAGAATTTGTAGAGCACCTTGAAAGAAAGGGAAAAATATGTAGGAGAACTTGAATAGTGTCTTCAAAGA